CTTTTTTCTTTTTTTTTTTTTTTTTTTTTTTTTTGTCTTTTTTGGTGACCGGCCGCACTGTGCTCAGCCAGTTTGCGCACCGGCCATCCCTATATAGGATCCGAACCCGCGGTGGGAGCGCTATTGCACTCCCAGCGCCGCACTCTACCGAGTGCGCCATGGGGTCGGCCCTCCACTGTCTTTCAAAGAGGCAGTGGACTGTGTCAAAAAATTTTTTATTGAAACGTATTGATTATACATATTCGTGGGGTAGAGAGTTGAATATCAATACACGTATACAATGTGTGATGATCAAGTCAGGGTAATTAACATTCATTATTACAGAACTTAAATCATTTCTTTGTGATGACGGACTGTGCCATATATTAAGGTATGGTCTCAGAGAATTCAGGTATGAGAGAGACCAACCAAATTTCATACCTTTATTTGTGGGAGAAGTTGTGGCGGATGTGGGGAGAGCTTATGTCAGACAGCAAGGGCTTAGGAAGAGAGGAGGGAGAGGAGCTTCCATATACACTGGTGCACAGCCTGACGGTGCTTAAGACGCTTGACGAATGAATAAATTGTCTGGTACAAAAGATAAAAAGACGGTTTGGCATTCTACCGGATAACACAGTTTCTTTAAAAAATGCACAGAGACACACACACACACACACGCACTGCTTTTCTTCCTTTAACTAGCGAAACCATAGGACAAAAGTACAGGTGCAATTGAGCCCACAATGTTGCGTAGTTCAAAACGCCGGGGAAAAACACAGAACTCTCGAAAGAACGAAGATAAACCCTTCCGCTGGATGTGGAAGGTTCTGACATGGCCAGACCCACCTCTGCGCAGTGAGAGGCTTAGAACGCCTCAGCGATGTGGCCGCACAGTTGCTGGAGTTGGCCACGAACTGATGAGTGAGGATGGAAACCATCCCGCAGCATGAGAAGCAACAGCGCCACAGCAGGCAGCTCCGACTGCAGGCGCGATCACGCCCCACTCAACAACGCGAGCGGTCTCTCGGAGAGGGGCCGGATTCCGAACTCCAGCTATCTCCAAGGGCAACACCGCTGCAGCACTTCCGGTGACGACACGCTGCAACAGGACGCCGCCCTTGTGCGTCACTTCCGCCGTTTATTGCTAGGAAAGTTGATTTCACTATCGTAAACTAGTGGTTGAAGTTAGATGGTATTATTACTTTTCCGGCGCTGATGTCTGTTTTGGAAAGGTGACGGTGTCGCTGTTTCGCCAGTGACTGGCTTTTTTTTGCAAACCAGCTATTCGAATTTCTGTTTTTTTGTTTTTTTAAAACTGTGCCGGTACGGTGGCCGAGGAGGTTCGAGTGCGGCGGAAGTACCCGGAGGGTGGGTGTGCGCGCAACGCCGGGGCCAGAGGTGCACGTGGCGCCGGTGAGTGACCATACAAGCGGGAGGATCTGAGAATGCAGGACGCGGAACCCAGCTGCGGGAGGGAGGGGATGCGGTGTGAAGACCTTGCCGTCTTCTGGGGGAGGAGGCACTAACCCAACGGCGGCGAGGCTGGTGTGTGGTAGGCCGGTGCTCACCGGGCCATGGGGAGGTAACATTTCTCACCCTTCGGGTTCGTCACTGGCGGTCTGGCTGTTGGTGTGGTGGCAGGGCTGCTATTATTGTCCCCTTTTATGGTGTACTGACCAAGGCTCAGAGGGGTTAGGGGTGGACTCAGAGGCCATAGTGATCAAAGGGCACGGACCATTTTTTTTTCCATTAGGTAGGACAGAGTATGTCTTTTCGAGGCGGAGGTCGTGGAGGATTTAATCGAGGTGGTGGAGGTGGCGGCTTCAACCGTGGAGGCAGCAGCAACAATCACTTCCGAGGGGGAGGCGGCGGCAATTTCAGAGGCGGCGGCAGAGGAGGATTTGGTCGAGGGGGTGGCCGCGGAGGCTTTAACAAAGGCCAAGACCAAGGACCTCCAGAACGTGTAGTTTGTATGTCTTTTTTAAAGCTTAGCCCACTTGGGCGGTGGATTGTGGGTTTGTGTTACTAGTCTGCAAGTTTGACTGGGAGTCCGGTGCTGAAGGATGGATCCATTAGCTTTGGTAGGGAGATTGCAGCTTGGTGGGGAGGCCAGTCTGTGTGGAGAGTGCTGTAAACTGACTTACAGTTGTACTGTAGCATGTAAGGAGGAGATCAAGAAAGCTGAAGGACACGTAATTTGAACTTGGACAGAAAGGAAAATATGAAATTGGTAATATTGAGTGCTTACCCCTATTATCCCCATTTAACAAATGAGAAAAACGTGATTTAGAGTTGTTTCTTTGCTAGATTCATAAGGTTGGTGATAAGTCTTTAGGATGTGATATAGTTGTAATACAAAGCCAAGTTTTTGATTCCAAGGCACATGCTTTCAGTTATTACCCAAAAGTGAGAGAAGTGAGAAAAAATATTGATTAGGAAGGAAGCTATGGTAGGGGAAGTCAAGAAGAAGACCTGATTAGAGTAATATTCTGGTAATTATCAGTGAGGTGGAGTAGAAGTCACAGAAAGTAAGACAGGGAGGTTTGGCAGTAGTAACTTACTATATTAAAAAGGACAGAAGATAAACTGTCTAGTTAAGAATTAGTTGGATTAGTATGCAGGATTATTTGAAGAGGGAAATAACTACAGTCAAATATCCCAGCCCACAAACTGTTGTGACAGTCCATACATGAGGCATTGAGAGCCTGATTTAGGATGGTGGCAGTGAGAAGAAAAAAAAAAAGAGGAAGGGCTAGATGGGAGAGAGATTTCAAAAGAAGCAAAACCAGTAGAACTTGGCTAATACTGGGAATAAAGGGTTCCAGGTTTTGAGCTTGGGTAGTATGGATGGAGAGTTGGTTTTGCAGGAATGTGAGAAATAGTTTGGGCTGACAGTCAGTTAGGAATACAGGTAGTTATTTTGAGATTACAGACTTCCCTGAAGAAGATTAAGAATTATTGGTAAAGAGGTGTTAGTGGGAATGGATATGTTCTAAGGAAGGAGGGAAAAAAGACAAGAATATAATTGATTCACAGTTAAGAGGTTGGGGAAAAGGAAGAAGAACCAGGAGAATGAAGCATTAGTGTTTCATCAGATAATAATAATTATAATAAGATAATTGTTATAGATTGAGTGGTCTCAATGTGCCAGGTGCTGTTATGAGCACTTGACATTTGTTATTCCACTTAATCCTCACAGTACTACACATTAGGTGTACATACACCTTATATGTGGTTAGCTCCATATGAAGGATGAGGACACTGAAGCAGAGAGAGTGTAGGTAACTTCCCCCAGGTCACGTAGCTAGTATGTTTTGGAGAAAGTATGCCAACCCAGGAAGTCCACACTCTTAATGACTGTACTCTTCTGCCTCAGAGGAGAACAGGTATGGTGAAATCCCAGGTAGTCAAGAAAACTTCCAGAAGAGGTTGGTCAATATCATTTGAAATAGTTCTATATTTTAATATTGTCTTATACTATTTCAGTATTAGGAGAGTTCCTGCATCCCTGTGAAGATGACATAGTTTGTAAATGTACCACAGATGAAAATAAGGTGCCTTATTTCAACGCTCCTGTTTATTTAGAAAACAAAGAACAAATTGGAAAAGTAGATGAAATATTTGGACAACTTAGAGATTTTGTATCCTTTTTAATTGGAAGACCTAGTAATCTCATTCAGAGGTTACTGGGTTTTTTTCCTCTGAGGCAATTAAATATAAAAACTTGTTGCTTTATTAAATTAGTATTGTTACAGATTTGACCATAAAGGAAAATCAAAAGGGAAGAATGTATTCATCCATATGCATCAAAATGATAGGCACTACAAAGGTGACTTCTTTTTTCAAAAGTTCTAGAAATGATGGCCATTTGGATAAGTGCTACAGGATTGAGTTGTTTGCTTTGGATATAATGCTGCCACTGGAATAGTATGGTAGAATTGAAAGGTTTTTGTTTGTTTGTTTGATTGTTTTTAAACTTCATTTCCCTTAGGAACATTTCTTATCTTTCCTATATATATCCACATACTCTAACCTTGTTTTAAAAATTATATGTGAATTCAGAAGGTTCCATTTCTTCTTTCATGTTAAGTGCTTATTTGTTCCTTAATAAAATTAATAGTATTTTTCAGTTAAATTGTCAGAAAACATGAAGGCATCATCCTTTAAAAAACTACAGAAGGTGAGTCAAGCTTATGGTACTTAGGATCCTTTGCTTTATAAGGGAATGATACACCTTAGAACAGTCCTACTTGGCGTACTTGAGACTCCTCCACTATATCACTAAACTGAGATGTTTTGTACCTGCTAGAATATGTTTTTTTAGTTTATGTAAAACTGTTATTGAAAAGCTTACATGACTAAACATTCTAAGTAAAATGTCAAATTATAAAACATTATTTGAGGAAATGTATATATTAAATGATTTCACAAGAATTTCAGTAACGTGGTATATGCTGCAAAGGAAAAGTATAGCTTGCATAAGAATCTTTATAGTGGGATCAAATTTAGTCTTACAGACTTCCCTGAGAAAGTGAGCTTAAAGCTGAAATCTGAAAGTTGAGTAGGAGTGATTCCCATACCTGGTTGCACATCAGAGTTATCTGGGGGAGCTTTTAAGAAGAGATATTTCTAGATCTTACTTCTAGAAATTTGACCACTGAACTAGTTAAAGAGAAGGGGAAAGTGAATTCTAAGTAGAGAAAACAGTTTGTGCAAAGTCCTTAAGACAGCAAGCAACTTTAAGGATCCAAAAAAGCAGAAGTATAGTTTGGGCATAGAACATTTAGGGGGGATGGAGAAGGTTGTGAATTAAGACTGGAGAGGGAGGAAGGGGCTTGATTACTTAAGTCTTTAGGTCATAGGAAAGAGTTTAGACTTTAGTTTTAATTTTGTTTTGTTTTTGAATAACAAGATAATACAGTTAAATTTATGCTTAAAAAGGGCACGGTGGAAAAATAAAAAAGCACCTTAGTAAGGAGTCAGTACTGTGTGTGAAGGGGCCAGGTAGGAGGCTGTTGTGATAGTCCTAGAAGAGATGATATTTTGGACTAGGGAAGTGACAGTGGACATGGGGAAAAGTGGATGGATTTATGAGAGATAAAGGAAATAGAATCAAAAGGACTTATTAATTAATTGGCTATTGAATTTGAGGAAGTAAAAAATATCACCTTTTTTCAGACGTCTGATTTCAACATGTTTGTGGATGGTCATACCATTTACTGAAATGGGCAACACTGGAGAAGAGGGGAATCAGGGGAAGATAATGAGTTTGGTTTGGGAAATAATGAGTTTGAGGTACTTTTGAGATACTCAAATGGTTGGGAGTTCAATGGAAGGGTCTGGGCTAGAGATAGAATATGGAAGCTGTCAGTGTACAGACCGTCTACAGTCTAGAAAGAAAGAATGAGAGGAAAAGAGTACCTATGAAGAGCTTTGGGGCACCTTCCAAATTTAAATCTCTCTTAGTGGAAACTGAGCAGTAATTGCCAATAAAAAAGGAGGCAAACCGCCAGTGTGCCCGAGTGGCATCACAGAAGTTGAGAAAGTGGAGTGTTTCGAAGAGGGAGTGCTCAGCTGTGGCAAAATGCTGCAAAGTGGGTTTTAGCAGCATGGAGGTCAGTCATGGAGCCAATGGAGTGGTGAGCCCAGAAGCCAGATTGGAATAGGAAATGAGATGGAGACAATACCTTGTTGTTAGTATATGGCTACTGGTTGTAGAAACCCTGAGAAGTATTCAACAGGAAATTGCTCTGCTTCAGGCATGCCTGGAGCTGAAGAGCCTAGAAATAAACAGTCCTAAGAAAGGCTTCTCGTCTGGTGACCTGAAAAAACAAAATTGCATGTAATGGCCACTTAAACTGATCGGATCCCTGCCTTTTCTCACAGTGCTGTTTACTTGAGGGTTATTATTTAGTATTTTGTTTTTGTTTTTTATCATGGATGCTAAATTAGGTACATTCTACCTCTTCTGGTTTCCAGATTCACTGCTACGGTTAAGTTCAGACCCTCCTTACCCAGCTTAGATTATTATAAAGTCTGTAGACCAGTGCCATCCAGTTGAACTTTCTGCAATGATAGAACTTTCTGCCTTTAGCCATATGTAGCTACTAAGTACCTGAAATGTGGCTTACGTGATGCAGGAACTGCATTTTTAATTGTTAATGAATTTAAATTTAAATATTCACATGTGGCTAGTGGCTTCCAAACTGGACAGTGTGATCTAGACAATATTTTTGAGATGATGGGCTGTGAGGGGAAGAAGAGTAATAAAGTGATATCTAGAGAGGGATACAGACATCTTATTATAAGTAATATATACAGACATCTTACTGTAAGTAATATATTACAGTTTCGAAGCCCCTGTTCATGTTTGGTGTAGAAGAACTGTGAAACAATATACTCCCTTACATACCATTATCTGAAAACTACTACTCTTCAACCCCAAGTATAGGATGGGTTTAGTTTCTGTATATCCTCCATTACTTTGTATGTTCAGTAAATATTTTGTATGATCCTTTATTAAATTCTTAAATATCAAGTATGCCAATGCTTTATTTTGTGCTTTAATGCTACATTTTTAATAGTTTTATTTTTCTTGTGAAAATGTAGTTAATTTTTAGGAGGCATTATATATTTCAAAAGAGTGAAAATGTAGTTAATTTTAAGCAGGCATTATCTGTTTCAAAAGAGAAATGAGATCGAATTGGTCTTAATTTTTTTTCTATGCATATAATGCTTATTGTGTGCCAAAGTATAAGTCCTTATATGTATCACTTTTTTAATCCTCCCACAACCATGTGGGGTAGATACTTTATTATCTACATTTTACAGATAAGAAAACTAATGTACTAAGAAATTGTCACTGCCCAGAGCTTCACAGCAAAAAGTGATAGGGCCTTGATTTGAACCCAGGCAGTTTCATCTTTAGCATGTACGTTCTTTTTTTTTTTTTTTGTCTTTTTTGAGACTGGCCGCACCGCGCTCAGCCAGTGAGCGCACCGGCCATCCTTATATAGGATCCGAACCCGTGGCGGGAGCGCTCCTGCGCTCCCAGCACCGCACTCTCCTGAGTGCGCCACGGGCTTGGCCCTAGCATGTAGGTTCTTAATGATTATGCTATACTGTCCCCCAAGTCATCACACTAATTGCTTCCATTATACTTCCAGTTTTACATAGACCCATATAAGCTGCTGCCACTGCAGAGGTTTTTGCCTCGACCTCCAGGTGAAAAAGGACCTCCAAGAGGCGGTGGCAGGGGAGGTCGAGGTGGAGGAGGTAGAGGAGGAGGTGGCAGAGGTGGAGGTAGAGGAGGTAAGTTACTTGTGGAGGGAAATTTCTGAGATTTCCAAGCCTCAGCTAATTCATATAGTACAATTTAATTTTATACATAGGCAAACCTCTCATTTATTTCTTATTAGTAAAACTGTTTTCTAAATATTGGCAGACTGCCTATTGTAATAAAGCTTTGTTTCAACAACTTATATAAAAACAAAAAATCTAATGAAGTGTGCTTTTGAGGGATTTCATCTCTGGGTTATTCATGTTTTCTTGGCCATTTTAATAAAGTGTAAGATTATCATAACTGAATTTTAGTTTTTTAGTTAATATCATTGGGTGTTTACTGTATGCCAAGAGCTGGTCATGTATTCTTATTTTGTTTTGGGCAGCTGGCTGGTATGGGGATCTGATCATATATTCTTTTAATATTCATGTGTGTGTATATATATGTTTTTTTTTTTTGGTGGCTGGCCGATATCCATATATATTCTTTTAATACTCAGCAAAACTGTTTGAGAAAGGTGATATTCTTATTTTATGGATGAGGAAACATAGGCTTACAGAAGTTAATTTGCCCTCATCAGTTGGCAGACCCAGAATTAAAACCCATATCTTCTGATGTGATGTCAGGAACTATTACCAGTAAATTCATTGCTGTGGTTTCACTATTTTGGTACATATGCTTCCCCACTGCTTAGGCACATTCATCATTATGGGCAAGATGGGTAATGGGCAGGGTTGGGGTGGGTGAGGCTTCAGCATTGGGTGTGCTTAGATCTGTTAATGGTGTGCTAGGTGAGTGAAGGTGGTGATGGCAGAGCCAGAGTGGGAAGGGAGAGCAGCTGAAAATTGGGCTTGGACGGCTTTTGTTAGTGGATCAGAAAAGAGAGAGAACTCTGTTTTCACCTTGCTTCTCTCAGTTGAATCATCTTTTCTTTCTATAAACATACTTGCTTGAATCTACCTAGGTAGGAGGTAATTTCTTAAAGAGACCTGAACAAACTTATTTCTCCCCTTATTACTATTCTATGTTCAGTCTCATTTAATATTTAAAGTATACAACTAGTCTATTTTCTTAAACCTTTATATATATATATATATTTTTTTCTTTTTCCTTTTTTTGTCTTTTTTCGTGTCCAGCAATGGACTGGGACCGGCAACGGGATCGCAACCCCCGGTGCTGCGCCCGCCCCTCGCTCAGCCAGTGAGCGGGAACCGGTCTATATGTGGGATACGAACCCTTGGCGGGAGCGCCGCCGCGCTCCCAAGCGGCGCACTGTACCAGTGCGCCACTGGGCCGGCCAAACCTTTATATTTTTATACCAGCATTTTGTAGATATATGTTTGTTTCCTTTTTTTTCTTTTTTTTTTTTTTGTCCTTTTTGAGACCGGCCGCACTGCACTCAGCCAGTGAGCGCTGTGAGCGCACCGGTCATCCCTATATAGGATCCGAACCTGCGGCGGGAGCACTGCTGCGCTCCCAGCGCCGCACTCTCCCGAGTGCGCCATGGGCTCGGCCCTTGTTTCCTTTTTCTAATTCAGGTATTCCTTACAAAGTTAGTCCCCAAAATAAGTAAAAATGGAGACTGAAAAATAGGAAGCCAAAAAAAGAAAAAGAAAAATAGGAAACCAATCTGTTGGATAATAGGAAATTGCGTAGGAAATTTTAAAATTTCAAGGATCATCTACATGTGTGCATTAGCTGTGGTCCATATGTAGCTCAGTTAACGGTAAACATCATATTTACTATAGTACCCCCAGAATAAAACCACCCATATCTGCCACCCATTGTTCTTAGGATAAAAAGTCAGTTCAGTCAAACTATCCTTAAGTTCAGCCAAAAAAGTATTTATAATAAGCAAAAGCTGAGATAATCATACATTTAACCATAGGACTAAATTATACTTTAAAGTAACAAGCTTTTCTAATTCATTAAAATGAAATACTTTGTTTAAAAGGTGGTAATCTGGAGATTTAGCTGACTGCCCAGTTTGGTATAATACTACAGTTTTTCTGTTTTTATCTTTTAAAATTTCTGTAAGATATAATATGAATCTCTATTCTTTATAACTGTAGGAATTGTATTGATCTTTGTAGGCTTACCAGAATATGAGAAGCTACAGTTAGTTGATAAATGTTTCCTTTTTTTTAGGTGGTTTTAGAGGTGGAAGAGGAGGTGGAGGTGGGGGCTTCAGAGGAGGAAGAGGGGTTGGTGGTTTCAGAGGTGAGTGTGAAAAAAATGACTTTTAAATGACTGAATTTTTATAATTGATATTGTCTGCTATTTTCTCTTTTTAAGTTTTATTTCTCTCTTCCAGCAAGTATATAGAAGACCATGGTGTTCCTTGCTTTAGCTTAGTTTATGGCTTCATTTTGTATCACTCTTTCTTGCTTTTCCCTTTTAATTTTTTTTACCTACTTCTAATTTATTTTGCTGTATTGAAAAATAAAGGTCTAATGTGACTGAAGTTAAATTTCATAAAGTAGGTTTGCTAAATATTACAGGAACTAATACAGATTTTAAACATGAGATTGGGTAATAGGGCTATTAAAAATCCATTTTTTATACCTTAATACTTGAATTTTCTCTTAATCAGGTAGAGGACATTAAGTGTAATAGTTGACAGACCACCGGTTGACTTCTGCATTAACCTGCATGATCTACTTCTACTGTGGATTGGGAACTTGCTTCTTGATCAAGTCTTGAAGATCTGGTCATTTTATGACAGTGGAGCTAAAATGTCAACGACATGCAAAAATGACTGTAACAGAATTGTCAATTTTGCTCTAACAGAGCATGAGCAAGTCTTTTAATATTTTGTATAGTGCCTGGCACTCTGTGGGTGCTTAATAAATGGACAGGAGTTTTCATTTGAAGCATATTTGAGTTTTTAAAATAAAGTGTATATTCCTTTAAGTTATTTCGAGTGTGTTTATTAAACCAAACCTATTTTTGAAGTTAAAGGGAACAGCAAAAGCTCAAACTCAGTGGATTGCAGGTAAAAGAAAGGATTTGTTTACATATATTACTGATCTTATAAAAAATAGGCTATTGGAGTAGTACTTCAAGGTTATTTATGAATTAACACCCCCTTTCAAAATGTTTGCCTTTTGTATATGAGAATATTAGCATCCTTTGTTGCATTTCCCTTTCTTGTTATAGTACATAAATCAGAGTAAGTGAAACAGTTTCTCTAATTGCAATTAACAATTGACTTTAACATTTTAGTATTATGAATCTGTTACAGTTGGAGGAGCTCTGTTCAGTTGAGAACTATAGTTCAAGAAATTTCTGAAGAAAATTTTTCTCATTCAACATACATGGACTATTAAAAGTTTTACTGATTGTTCTTGTTTTACTTTTACTTTTTAAACGGGACTCTAAAAGTTTAAGATGGCTATTCACCATAAGTCACTATTTGATTGTCTGCTACATACTCATATTTCTGGGTAGGGCTGTTACAAGTGAAATTGGTTTTGGTCACCATTGCTAGTGTAATATCAAGATATAACCATGAGAGCAAGTTAGAATACCATGGTATGGAACCATTTATCCTGCCATTTTGATTTTTTTCCTCCCTCACGTGCTTCAGAGGGAATTATGTTTCTACATCACTTGTTAAGTTTTCTATCATGTTCAATTAACTTTTGAATGCTCATTCAAGTAGCATATAGTATTGCCTGTATCAGTATTTTGGATTTTACTTATCTTTTTTGATTAATGAATATATAGGCCATAAAACTATATGATGAATAAATACATTGAAAATTACTTTTCTAAAAGGTGGTTATGCTTTTACAACTTAGGAAGGGAGGAGGCTATTTGATTTAGAATCTTTGGGATAACACTCAGTGTTAAGGTCAGGATTTTCACCTTTGGTTTGTAAAAGACATTAGTGAGCACGAGAGGGGCAATGGCATTGTCTAAAATGGCAACGATGGAAGTAATGTATAGATTAGTAGACAAACCACTTGGAAATTTCACCTTTTACCTTAGGTATATATTTTTTGGCCACTGGCCATCTTTAAACTTTTATTTCCACATCTTATTTTTCCCCTTTCTTCTTTGAAGGATGGTTCGCTGTGGGTTTCCTTGGGGCTTTTCATTTTGAATCAAGTTCACATTTAGGGATCCTAATTTTAGTGAATTTGGTACTGTGGTAACTATCACCAAGTTCCATTGCAAAAAATTTTGATGATTTTTCACATTTTAAATCTTTTGAGTTGATAAGTTAGTAACATTCTGATTTCCTAAAAATTTGGGAAGAGTTAAGAAAGGTGGAGTGGCTTTAGGGCAATTGAAGGATACGGAATTAAAGAATCATGAGCTATGTAAACAGGATATGTTTATCACTGTATTTCTCAGTATTTCTAAGCCTCACCCCAGTATAGCTTTTCTGTATCGCTCATGAAACATGAAAAATACTTTGATGCTCCTACCTCACCTATTATCTGAAAAACCATCTACAGCAGAAAGATGGCCATCTTTGGAATTATTTTTCTTCAGTTCTTATAAGTAAAAGTAATTATTTCTGGAAAGTTGTACATGGATGCTACAACTAGGCAATAAAGTTTTATTTTACATATTGAATGAAAACAAGAAAGAAAAGACTTAAAACCCAGCAGCACATAGTTTTTTAAAAGAGGTATGTTTATTGCTTTCAGGTCATTTGAAGTGTTGTGATACTTTGTATGAGATTCGCTTTCCTATAATATAGTTATTACTTTACATTTATAAAAAATTTGAGTACTGGTAGCTATAAGACTTGGGAGAGATCAGCTTGAGTTTATATACAGGTGAGAGCTGAGGCAAAAGGATTATTAGGTTTCTTCCTCCTGTGCCATTCTAAGATTTATCAAAGTAAGTGAGTAAATATAGCCCTCTAGTGGTTCTGTTATATGCTTACACTGTTATCTTTGATGCTTTTGAGCATTTCTCTAATGTTTTACTGATGTTAAGAAATTCACTACTGAGAAGAATCAGATTTTAATAATGTTACATGGCAAACAGAATATGGGGAAAAAAAGGTAGTAGAGATTCTTTATGTTAACTACATGTTCATGGTAGATTGTAACCCATTTTTTCAGGTTATAACATAATCCAAAATACAGAGTACTTCAAAAAGTTCATGGAAAAATAAAATTAAAAGAATGTGAATCCATGAATTTTTTGAAGTACCATCATGTTAGAATTACACTGTATTTTACAATATGAGTAAATGAAACCAGATACTTTGCTGATATGTTAGGAATACTATCATCAGATGTTAGTTACTCGTGCATATCAAAGTGTAGGGTAGATTGACAGGTGGATGGTGGAGTAGATCATGGTATATCCATGCTTTGAAATGCATAGGTATTAATAAATTAGGTTTATTGACCTGGAATTTATGATATGGCTTTAGGGGAAAACAAGTTGCATAATGTTTTAAAATATATACACACACGCACACACACTATATATACACACACACATATATATATGTATATATATATATATATATATGTGTGTGTGTATGTATATGTGTATGTATATATATATACAACCTCATTTTTGTTTTAGAGGGGAAGAAAGTGGAAACTTCAAACCCTGTATGAATATATGTTTGTATAAGCAAAGAAAAGCATAAGGACATACACCAAATAATATTGGAACTGTTAGGGGAGTGAGATTTGGAAGTTTGAGGGGAATTTACTTCTTTATCTCTCATATTTCAATTGTTAAGAAAAAAATAGAACTGAAATGGCAAAACTTGAAGGATCAACAGAAAACAGAGACCTTAATCTGAATGGTTTTAAAGGACTAAGGCTGGCTCTTAATTTCAGAACTGATTTCCAGCAGAAATCAGTTAAATCAGATCCTGAACTGATTTTCTGATATTGTTTATTGTTTAAGTGGGATGTGTGTGCTTGATAATCTCCTTGGATATAAGACTGATGCCCAAATTGGTTAAAATTTGTGGTGTTTGGTATTTCTTTTTGGTTTATTAATAAGCTTTTCCCTTGTTCTGGGAATGAAAATCCTTTTCTTGTTAGCCCAATTAAATTTGTTAAGGGAGGGCCTCTATGAAAAGGCCCTTCTTTGAGGTCTCTAAGTGGAAATGATTGGTCCAGAAAAATCTTTCTTCAGTGGCTCTTAAAATAGTTCATAGTTATTGAAGACTTATGAAGGCTGTCTCAATATCTTCCCTTCAAAATGCTAAGGAATAATTTAGGCAACAATTCAGACTCTAAAAATGAAGATGGCTCAGTCTTTTCACAGAGTGAGCACAATATTGTTGCAACTTACTTGATTATGGCAGGTATGGATGTTTAATTACTCTATTAACAGTTACTTTGCTTTAGAATGCATTGAGATAAGCAGAGGTTTTCAGCGTAAAGGTATAGAAAGAGCATGTATTCAAGTTCTGTATTGGTCAACTTCAAGTCACTTGTTTCTGAGTTGGCTTGCTCACATGGTAATTGAGGATAATATTCTATTTCTGGGCTATAAAGTAAGAGAATGTAGGTGAGAGAAAAAGTGAAAGTATTGTTAGTGGTGGTTGATGTCACGGGTTATTTTTAGTTTTCATACGTAATGTGAGAACAGTGAAGTGACACTTTTATAGAAAAGTTTTCTATAAAATGATTCTTTTACAAAAATTCATATATTTTGTTATTACATTGCCAAATTAAGTTTTTATTGGGGGAATGTTTACACCATGGCAAAAATGCATTTTTGTATTATTTCTCATAGATAATTTTCATAGTTTCATTCTTGGTAGTGGAATCTAGCTAAAGATCAGAAGGTTCTGGGAAGAAAATTAAAGCCCTAAAATGAGAGAGCAGAGTTATTGTCATTGAGGGCAGAATGTGAAAATTCAGCTTGTTCCAGAATGCTATATTGGAAACCTCTTGAGCTTTGGATTTCATCTTTTAGTATCCTTGCAACTGTGAGCACCTCCCCACCTTTTTGCTCTTCCATTTTCTTATCTGTAAAATGGGGATAAGAATAAGCCACCTGTCATTATTGTTGTGAGGAATAAAATTAAAGGACACATAAATCCACCTCAGAGACATGTACAATAGGTGTTGGACAAATATTTGTTTTTCCCTATATACACATGCTCATTGATGCAAATATTGGATTAAAATAAAGGCTTGTGTGCAGAAAAAGAAGATGTGGGGGAAATGACAGTAGAAATTGTTTATCTTTTTTACCTATTGATTGAATTGTGATGTAACTTTTATGCTGAGCAGTCAATTTCCAACTTCATGCTCAGTAATGAGCTTTAAAAGTGATACTTTGTTATACTGGCTTCATTATTTTTTGGATTGACTTTTAAGAAAAATTTCAAACATTACTGAAAAGTAGAGTGAAAAGTACAACAAATCCTGTACCCAGTTTATTCTTTGTAATTGTTTAGTTTTTTTCCCCTCACAAATCACAGAATATTACTTTTTGTGCTAGAAACTGAGTTCCTCTTTCATAATTTTAGTGACATCTTAACTCATTCATTTGAATACCTCTCTATGATAAGTACTGGACATATTCTATTTTTGATTTTTTTTTTTTGTTGCCACTGTATGAGAAAACCATGTACTATTTTAAGAGAAAATCTCATTATCATAACTACATGAAAATGTTTTGTATAAAAGCTTTCAGTTTAGTTAGTTTTTTGTAGATGACCAATAAAAGCTATCCTTTTTTATTTGGTTACAAAAGTAGCATTCAAAGGCAATTTCCTAAGAAAATGTTCTATCTGGTTCTTATCCCTATAACAGTAGTAATAATAGTAAGCTTACTACTAGTACTAATGTTACCATTTGAATGCTTGCTATACACCAAGCACTGTTCTAAAACCTTACATGTACAGAATAATTCATCCTTACGCTAATTCAGTGAGCTACATTTTAGTTTAATTTCCCTGTTTATACCGAT